AAATACGATGAAGAGCCTCCTCTTGCTACACGGACTTGAGGATGAAGCTCCTTGACACATGCCCCACCTCCATCTAGTTCCTCTCCGTCGGGTAACAGCCACCAGAGAGCCGCAAAGTCGTTTTTTTTCTACTTTGCCAGGTGACAGCCATCGAAGATGACTCGACGACCCATTTTATTAATCTCTAGACTTCGCAAGAAGATTTAGAGATTGCCCATGTCATCTTTATCCAAGAGAGCCTTCAAGGCCATAGACACTACACAATGATCTTCCCGAACACTTAAGATTCTAGTGCATTACTGACGCATCATCGTCGCGACGTTGGAACTCTGTTTTCCTACTTTCAACTTACTTTACGCTTCATTTAGTGATAGTTTTTGTGATTTTAATTTACCAAAATATACTTTGTTCTATTACGATTCTTCTAGTTTTTACAGATTTTAATTTGATCAATTAAATCATCTATAATCACTTATGTAAGAATCACTAGGCAGAACTCTGTTTTTGCCCGATTCCTATTTCCTTTTTTTGTGAATTTTAAATATATTTTCTTTTTATTTCCTAGTATAAAATTCATAGAAAATCGTATTAATTGAGAAAATTTCTGAATAATTACTAGATATTATATTACATCCCTGTGATTGACCTGAAAATTTTCCGCTATTTTTGGAAGTTTTATTACATTATAATTGATATATTTATTTAGAAATACTTCTAAATATCCAAAAATTTGTATTTTCTAGTTTTATAAATTTTAGATTTGCGTGATTTAATATACAACGACTAAATCATGTCAAACATATTGAACATTTAATGTAACTGGTGACATATATAATTGTCTCTTAATATTCAATAAATAAATTTTCAATTATAATATCAAAACCAAGGGCACCAATAGTTCTTTCTAAAAAAAAAATTTCTAATAAAAGTTAACTTGATTATGAGTTTATAATTCATTTAATTTTATATATTACTCAATTTTTATAAACATTTGAATCAACATCATTTTCCCATTTTACCAAAGATGAAGCAACTATGTTGGTAGATACTATGTTTTAATTTTATTTTCAGTAGTTATTTTCATGATTTTAATTTTTCTGCTGAAATTTAACTTTGTTATGATCATGAGAATCATTTTATTTTGAAAGATTACTCATGTTTTATCAGAATTAAACTCTAGTCATTTCCTATTTTACCATTGTCATAGCAACCTTACTAGTGGTCATTTTCTCTCTCCTCTCCTATTTGTTATAATTTTAGCTTTATTTATCCTCCTTTATTTTTTATTTTTACAATTTATTATGATGTTTTTGTAGTAAAATTTTGTAGGTATAGAATCATCAATTAAATATGAATCTGCTCATGTCAAAGCTAAAAGATTCGAAGCTCAAAATTTGGTGACAACATGATTGGGCATTGAAAGAGATTGAATAGAGAAATTTATTTTCTTTTATTTTCTTTGAGTCAATAAAATATTTGAAATGAAAAAGTTATTATTAAGATTGACCATCATCCATATGGATGACCTGAATTCGCCAAAATTTTGATTTTTATTCTTTAGAATTTGGTTTATAAATATTTGAAATTTAATCATTTTGATAACAACATCAAAAGCGATATTAGCTATAGTGACTAAACATAACATAGCTAACAATATAGGAGCCTATTCATCAGAAACTTTGTGCTGCATTGAAGTAATCCAATATGTGGTTCCTCATGTTCTACCACTTCTCTATTTAATTCCAATATTGATCATGAAACACCATTAACACTACTCAGCAAGTCAAATACTAAAGGTCAAGTGAATTGGGGTTGGTTAGTAACCATCCCTTAGTCGTATTAAGAGATATGAAAGTTAAATTTATTTAAAACTAGATTCACTTTAAGATAAATCAAGTAATTCCAATGAGTTTGGGTTGAATCCACAAGAAAGATAATTTATTTTTTTCTCTAAATAAATATAAATAAATAAGGGAGAGTAGGAGAGATATTATGAGCTCAAATAGCCACAACCATCTCCATTCTTCCCTTGTACCATCAAATTATTAATATGCAAGAAAATAATAATCATATATTAACCTAATTTACTGATGATTAAAAAATAAGGGAGGAGATAGAGAGCAAGAGAGAGACAAGAGGATGTGAAGAGAGAGAAAAGGCTTTGTTAGTGGGTTCTATTATGGGCAAAAGGAAGAAGCAATTTACTTCAAAAAAGTAATACAAAACTAGAGTAAAAAATGGAAGGAATAGGCATCATAAGCAAGTTTAGAATTGATTAAGCACAAGCAAAAATTAAGTAATGAAATTAAAGCATATTAAAAAAAAATCCCCCTTTGATACTAAGGATGAGATGGCCAAAAGAATTCTAAATCTAAAACGAATGAATCAATTTTTACTTCAGAATATAATTTTTAGATGAAATTAAAGCTAATAAAAACTCAAAAACATCAAGAAATCAGATAGAAAACAGATAGAAAATAGATTCAAATCAAGATTTTCCCTCTTTGACACTAAGGATAGGCAGATGAATGAGTTTGAGTACAATACTAAATATAATCCTTAAAAATTGATTGCTTCTTCGATTTATTCACCTATCACCTAAATAACTTTAAGAAAAAAATTTAGAACAATGTGAAGATCAGATTTTTTATAAAAACTAACACAAGAAATCAATGAAAACCTCAAAGAACGCCCATGTTTGTCATATGGTGGAAAGAGGAAGAAAAGAGAGATCATTTTGACCTAAATCAAAAGTTTTTATACTCCCACTAGATCTAGAATCCATTACATATAATGAGGGATCAACCTGCTAAAAAAACATTTGATTTTAATTGAGAATCAGCTTCCATTTCTTTGTTCATTTTTTGCCAATTTTTCTCCCATATCTGGTCATTTACAATTGTTTCTAGATGTTTTCGCTCATTTTTGTCCATTTTTTTAATCATTTTAATTTAATTAAACAAATTGACGAAATAGGCCTTAATGACCTTCTAAAATGCTCATACTTCTCTATAACTCAATACATATTCTGAAGATAGTCTTAAAAATCACCAATAATTAAAAAATAAAAAAATGAATTATTACAATTAAATTCTGATTTTGGCTCAAATAATGACAGATTTAACTATAAATATGTCAATATGATCAAGGAATATTCAAAATATAAACATATATAAGACTATGTGAAAACCATACGTTAAGTATGCATTACATGTAATTAATCTAAAATATCATTACATAAGTAAGAGTTTATTGATATAAGAATGGAAATAAGACGTGAAGATGGTCATTCGAAAAACCATACTATTTATTGTCATCCTAGACCTAGTTCGAAGGACAAGGGACTCATTAGCAAGAGAATATGGAGCAATGGAAGAACATTTGGCACCACATACTAAAGTGTCATCATGCAAAAAACTCGTAATTTTATATCAAATGAATTGTGTGTCAAATAACATATCAATAAAGATAATATTATTTCTTCTTATGATTGATTATTCTGTCAATATTCTTTGGAGAGACTTATGTTGTAATATTCTACCCATAATAATGGCCTAATTTGGTGAAGGGATAAGGAAAGTTCTCTTTATGTTAGAATTAACATAAATAAGGGATTTTTTAGGGTAATTTATTTCCCTACCTACTCCACTCTTTTAAAGGCAACCCTCATAAAATTTTACAACTCTTTTTCTGGAGTATACCCATTAAATATATGCTTCAACTACCTCTCACACACTATATTCATAGCTATAGTTAGAAAACCATTAGATATTCTCTACCTTAATTTGCTAGTCTAGATTCAGAATCTCAAATTTGACCCCCAACTATGTGAAATGAATCACACACTCTTGAATATGTATGTTCACCAGATACAACTTAGATCAATTAAAAAATTTGAAGTCCACCATGCAGAGTTTGTGGAAGCTAGGAGCTTTGATATTTTAGTGAGCTCTTTTGCATTCAAATGAAATCATAACCTGCATCTATAAGTCAATTAAAGTTTTTTTATGCTAGATAAAGTCGTGAAATACTTTTCTATAACTCATGTGATGATTTCTTGGAAACAGTTAATAGCTAGGTTGTAGTGTTGTAAGATTGTCTTAGTTCTTACATCATCATTTAGTCGTAGATTAACACGTACTCTAGCTAGTTCTTCAAGTTATGAATCAAAGTAATTGGCACAACTCTCAACAGCAAATTAATGATAAAAAGTGCCCTGCAACATGCTGTGGTGAAGAAGAGGAACCAAGAAAAAACACATATTTTTCTGACATTGTTTTTGAAAATTTTTGACTCAATATACATATTTATCATTGAATTGATGGAGGCGCAAGGTGCATTTTTGTTTATTTATTTTGGCTCATGGACACCGCATTAATCTCCCTTGCTTTTTGCAGATTGGGCTGAAGATTAATCTAGACAGCTCCGACTCTGGTAGGAGGGATTTGTTCATCCTGGCAGGTGTTGATTTCATTCTTTCTCCCGCTGCATGCGTTTGCTCGTCATTTTTCTTGTTCACAGTCTGATAGAGTCATAAGAACGAACCTGAGAAGATCAGCGACCGAGGCCAGTCTAATCGAGCGAAGGAGAGAGAAGTTGGGCGGGAAGACATGTTGGGGCGATTCCACGGTGGCAGAGCGGCTTGTTGTCGTTATTTACGGTCTATCCATAACGAATCATCCAGGATCGGCCACGTCTCCACCTCGTCTACCATCCGTCTCCCGGGAAGGCCCGAGTGGCGGTGCGGATTGGAGCCTCCTCCGCCCGTGACCTCCCTCCAACACTTCCCGTCGGACCCCTCCTCGCCGGCGGGCCGTCCCCTCCGTCCCCTCCGTAGCGGCGAGGCGGTGAAGTCCGTGAGGGACGCCCATAAGCCGTTCGCGTCTCCCGGCGGTTTCGGCTAGGCTCTGTCCTCGTTCTGCCCGGTTCCCTTCCCCCGTAAGCCGTGGCCGGAGGGGTAGACCTTGGCGACGGCGGTGGCTTCTGCTGAGACTGTAGTTATGGGAGCGTGGAGCAGGGAGGACGATAAGGCCTTCGAAATCGCCCTGGCGACGGTGATGCCTTTCAAGGAGGAAGTCGGGGAGGAGGGTGATGAGAAGAGATGGGAGGAGATCGCGGCTAAAGTGCCAGGAAAGACGGCGGGAGAGGTGAAGGTACACTACGAGGTGCTGGTGGAGGACTTGCGCGCCATTGAGACCGGGAAGGTGCTCCTGCCCTCTTACGTCGCGGGGGAAAAGGAGAAGGACAGGGATCCGCAGCAGCAGCAGCAACCCAGCGGCGCCGGAGATAAGAAGGGGAGCGCCTTGGGGAGCCTTGGAGGATTCGATTCCGGCGGTGGCCACGCGAAGGCTGGATCGAAGTCGGAGCAAGAGCGGCGGAAGGGTATCCCCTGGACAGAGGAGGAGCATAAGTGAGTCCTCAGCAATCCTTATCGCACATTCGTTTTCTCCAAATTAATTGCCCAATTTTTCAGAAATTACCGAGAAAACACAATCTCGATGACGCATTTATTCTGTGTGAATTAACGAGGATAGATATCCATTTTCTGAGTTGGGGGGTTGACTTTAGGCTCCGATAAAATTCTGAGAGGGGAGGGTATTTCTGTTCTGTTCTGTAATTGTGCCTTGGCGGTGGTGATATTTCGCTTTGCCGACGACGATGGATGTCTCCTCTCAGGCTGTTCTTGCTGGGCCTCGACAAATTCGGCAAGGGTGACTGGAGGAGCATATCGAGGAACTTCGTCATCTCAAGAACTCCGACGCAGGTCGCCAGCCATGCCCAGAAGTATTTCATCCGCCTGAACTCCATGAACAGGGACAGGAGACGGGCGAGCATCCATGACATCACGAGCGTGAACAATGGTGATGTAGCTTCTCCCCATGTCCCCATTACGGGCCAGATGAACCCTGCTATGGTCGCTGCCGTAGGCCAAGCGATGAAGCACCCTGGCCATCCCCACCCTACAATGCCAGCGATGGGGATATATGGCCCTGCTGTAGGTCAGCCGACTACTGGGCACATGATGTCGGCAGTCGGGACTCCAGTGATGCGCCCGTCTGGGCACCCCAGTTATGTAATTCCAGTAGCTTACCCCGTCCCTCCGCCGACCATGCATCCATAGCCTGACATAATTGAATCAGTGCAGAGAAGTTTTGCACCATCTCATCACCCCTCGTTTCATCTCATTTGAAATCTAAGAGCAAGGAAATGAGAGCACATTGATGAACAGGGGGGGAGGCTGTCAAGTGGGGACTTCTATATTACCTTTGAATTGTACAGAGGCATGAGAATTTCAGCTGCCAGAGGGGTTGCGCCTCACCTTGTTGATAAACACGGAGTGGGTTTAAAATCTGGGCGGCGTCACCTGGGCTGTCCTTTTTCTACAATTTTATGGGGTTCTTCATCAGAAATCACTAGTCGTCTATTCACGTGTGTAAATGAAGATTACAACAACACAAAAGTCTACTTTCTGCCCAGTTTTTAGGGGAAAAAACATTCCAATCGCAATTTCCCGGCATCAACAAGGTTTCCACTTTTTGCATACACTAGGACGATTTTTGTTCATAGTAGAATCCTGACACCTGACTGCTTTCCTATTCAGTTTTTATTGCCGATCCCCGGTCTTTCAGTTATTTAGATACGAAATGTGGCGCTTTGGTGTTTATCCCTTCTTTGACAGGTAACTCGTCATGAGTCGAAATGAGTCGGTAACTCGTCATGAAATCTAGTAGATTTCAGTTTGTGTTCTTGGCAAACAAGATCAGATCCCCTTTTACTGTGCCTTTCTTCATGTTCCTTTTGTATAGGTAGTGGTGGGAGCTGCTTCACACTTGTTGTGGGGAGTAGAGCTTATCTGCATACTAGTCAAGCCTACGGAAATAAATAACTATGGCACTGACGGAATTCTCGTTCAAGCCCAAGGAATACCTGTACAATTTCTTGCTTCCAATAATCGTGATAATCTAATCATCATATCTTAATTTCCCCTCTCAGTTCTGGTCGTATATAGATTTGACTTATCTCGGTCTGACAAGTGAATCTTACACGACAACGGCTATTGTTGACTGAGTTGACCCAAGTAATTATCCAGGGTATTACTATAATTTAAACATGAAGCAACATCAACAGCCAATACACCTGTTTTTATGAATCGGAAATATTATATTATAATCATCTACTCTTCTTACAGGGATTAATCTCGTGCTTGCTGGCATGCATGAATTAAATATTGTGATGTAAGATCCGGACTGTATGAATTATAGTGCAAAGGCACCATACTTCATACAAGGCGCATTTATTAAGGATCAACTCTTTTAAATATCATATTACAATCTTTCGAACTGCGTAGATGCCAATCAAGGAGGCATTAAAGGATTACAATCAGAGAAGGGGATGTGTTTGACCAGGCCACCAAGGCGTTTTCTCTCATCTCTGCTACCTTTTCTCTAGTTCCACTGCACTGTAACTGAAGTAGATCACCCACAAATATCAGTGAACCGGCGACCCTCCATACAGGTTATGGCCATTCAGATGTCATGACAGATGCTATAGTATGCCAAAAATAACAAACGTACCAACGTCATACGTCATCGCTCGTTCAACCTGATGGATTATTGATGAATGCAAAACTTTTGACTGTCACGTTGTATAGAGAAAGTAGAGCAACGACCCAGCGAGCGAGAAGCAAGTGGGCAGGAAGGGGCAGAGGACGAGGTCCTCGACAAGAGGAGAGTGAGGCTGCTCCTGTCCGCAGGTCATCGCTTGACCCATTGAAAACTCTTCCTTGCCTTAGCTTTGCCTGGCTTTTTCCTCTCGACAGCGCGGGGATCCCTCGTCAAGAACCCAGCTGAAACGGCCAATTGAGGGGAGACACGTAAGGTAGGAGCAATTGTAAGGCACAAAGAACATATAGGCACATGTCTTGCCTCATGTGCCTCATGTGTTTCGTCACTTGAGATGGGCAGGATTTCATGCATGCACAGGAGAGAAATTTTATGAATAAATAGAGCTTTTTTGGCTAACCCAAAAGCTTACCTGATCTAAGATTTTCACGAAGCCCTGGTTCAAAGTTCTGCAGCGCCCGGCTGATTCCTAGACGAATGGCTCCAACTTGACCTACATTGGGTGATGATAACACTGTAAAACACCCATCACAAATGAACTACAGCTAAAAAAATGAGATAAGAGATGACTGCTTCTTCGACGTTCAAGAAACAATGAATGCAATAAGAGCAATTGATAAACAAAAAAAACATGCATGTGAACACATAACGAATGCACGACGATTTGCAGATGATTTCAGTCACAGGGAAAATAGGTACCCCTTTGAAAGAAAAAAGAAAATCAATAAAGATGAGCTAGAAGCTCAATGCTGAATGCAAGCACGGAGGTGGATGCAACCGCATTGCCTTCACAGCGAATAAGGGCTGTTGAAAGACGGATAGAACAGGAACAACAGGTACACTAGGCTACCATTTTCAAGAATTAGGGCGACAAGCGATCATAATTTTCAATTGCATGTAAGCAGGCCGCAGTTGGTGAGTAGAAAATGGCTGAAAGGATCAGTATAGTGCTTAATGTTCATCTAAGCCAGCGAGCACCGTGAGCTGCCCATCCAACACAGGGCACAAGAAATGCCATGATAACCAACGAAAACAAAAAGAGTACTACATAGATGACGCACCTGAGATGCCCCCTCCCTTCACAGTGCAGTTTACATCAAAAAGACCCAATGTCTTCGTAGAAGTGAATGGACGAAGGAGGTCAGCACGGTGATCAATAATAGGGAAATAAATGTCAAATTGCTTGTCATTGACGATGAACTTTCCTTCTCCAGGTTCAATCCAAACGCGAGCACTACTGCATTTCCTTCTGCCAGTTCCATATGCCCTTCCCTTTTCATCAACCTGTCTAACTCGCGCTTTAGCAACTTCCTCTTGTTTCTTGCGCTCCATTTCAAATCTAGCTGAAGGAGCATCATCCTTTGCCAATTTCATATCTTCTATTTCTCTGAGAGAAGGCAACCCTTGAACACCTCTAAGATCCTTCAATAGAATCAAACTATCAATCATCTCCTCTGTAACTCCTGATGCGGAAATGAGGTCACCAAACGCCCTATTTGGACCTGCAACGTAAGAGTATTAAATACCAGATATTATCAGACTTGCCTTGCCACGAGTCATAGTATGTGTAAACTTCAGTCCTCACATAAAAGATATTATCAGATATTTAAGCATTTGTGACACTCAAAATTCATAGTTAGTGGAGAAAGAAGAGCATACACGGACGAAAAAATAACCTCAATAAAGAAAAGGAAATAATCCTGAATAACATTAAAGAGATGATATTGTATGCTGACATTAATTTAATCTTCAACATCATCTATTGTGCTTCCACATATCCTCCTGTCTTATGCTAAGATAAAATATCTCACTCCATGGGAATGCAAAAGGGTGAAAGCAAGTTGTTGCAACATACAGGTAACCGTGAAAGTCACCAGAAAATACGAAAGGAGAGAATGCATAAGCCATGGGTCTTTCACAAATCTCTATTAAAGTCTTTTCTAACACGTCTGAAACACAAGCACTGACCCGAAGATGATTTTGTACTGGATCATTAATTACATAAAATGTGTTACAGCAATGAAATCAAATGCAGAGAAGCATAAACACAATTTTCGATGTTGTATGAATCCTCTGGCAGCCAATAAATTTTATTCCCCAAAAACAGTAGAACCGAAGCAAACTACCCAGTGAGATATCTTCAAAAGCCATAGTCTATAAAATGCCCAATACTTTCCACAAGCCTAGATGACCCACAGTGTTGTCTAAAGCACCATCCACTATACTTCTCCAGGCGCAGGGTCAATGCCTCAGCCCTTGTGCCAAAAAGATTACAAGTGGGACCATAAACACAGGATGAGGCCTAAAATCATGTTCCATATAGGTAATCCAAGTCACATTCTCAAAACTTGATTTGTGCGGCCCTTTACAAACTACAGAGCATACGTATTGACAGCGACCATCAGGTATTGATAGAAAAATATCTGACTGAAAGATGCCCCACAAATATTTTGCATGGCAGGCAGGTTATCAGTCTCTCGACCTGAATAGCCCTTAGGTAATTAGGGGTCTTCGAAGCAGACTGTATAATAGTTAATCACCGCCACTGCCTGCTCACATGTAAGTACAGACTAAATGAGGGATGGACTACACAAAAAACTAACCAGACTCTACTATTCCCGTCGCTCTAACCTCAAGAGAGATGGTTACTCAAACAACATCAGATAACCCACCGCTGTAACTTTCTTGCTTTTTGTCACATTATTTACTAAAAGGGCTCTAATGGTTTTCCAAGTCCGACATACTTCAGACAGATGGACGTAACTGAACTTGGGATCCACTTTAATGCTCAACGAATGGTGGCCAAACCACTACTAATTAGATGATACAAAGCTTCAAATTTCCTGATGAAAACTTCAGCATTACTCACACATTTCTTCCGAACTTGAAAGGTTTAGATAAGTCCTCTTAGTATCATGAATATAAGAAGTTTTAAGCTAATCAGTATCCAACATAAATTCAAGAAAAAAATGAATTTGTACTTTACACGTTGCCATCTTCTTGGCGAAAAGTTGAAAGAAAAATACTCTTTACTGCCCTAGTTTAAACATAACCTTGCAAAATAAAATATTAGATGTCAACCTCCATTTAACCAGATAAAATTCCCCTTTAATGTACATCATGTAGATACCTATATTCACAAGGTAAACTACCATACTGTCTCCATAACCTCTTATATTCATCACGCTGATTAAAACAAATCACCGTACACAAAGTTGAAGCTTAATCGACTGCTCAATTTTCGATTATGTGGAGCATTCAAATTAAATTACCAACCTTTTCTTTGTGTTGGCTGGTGCATTGTTAGGGTCTTATACTTCAATACAAGTGCGAAATTTCTTCAAAGACTTCCTCGAGGCGATTGAAGAACTCAATTGTTTAGAGACAGGTCACAATCGCATCACATAGGATCAACCTTGCTAATGATGTTTTTCAAAAAAAGAAAATTGAAGATTGATTAGATTTGGATCACCAAAAGTTTCAATGGCTCAGGTAAGGAGGTATTAAGAATTACTACCCATGAAAAGCATTCAATTTCAAGTCTTCACATCTATTAGTTATGACGGATCTGTAGAACAGCTAGGGAGCCTCGTACTTAATATCAATAATTTGAATTCACTTAACTCCGATACTATATCATGGTAGCACTCAGATTTTATGCCTTGCCAACCCAAACTACATGAATGGTTTTTACAAAAGACATCTGTCTCAAACAGTAAGAAGCCGAGCCATTAGCCATCCTAAATTTAATCATTTTTTGATAATAATGTTTAGTCTGATTATATACATCTATAACATGGTTATGTCAAGCAAATGTAGAACCAAAGACTTGATCATACAACTACAATAATAAGTTGCGTCCCATTCTATTTGAGTGAACATATTTTCAAATTATAAAATTTTATGAAATAAGACTAAATATGAAACAACTTCTACAGATGATCATGCACGTTCTGAAAATAAATGGAAACAATCATCCAAATAAAATTTAAAAAAATCATCTAAATAACATTTCAAAAGAGTGTAGAGATGTGTTTCATGTCTAATACTGGAATAATCAGATACTTAAAAAACTGAAATAAAATTGCAAGCAGAAACCAATAACAGATCATATGCCTGGCAAAATAATAGAGTAGATAGCGAATTAGCCTCTATAAGAAAGTCAAAAAGAAGTAGGGAAAAATTGTGAAAAAAATATCGACTCATTTCTCTGGTTACAGGTCAGCTAAAAAACTACAGCAGTATGCCTTTTGATGTTGATTTTGGCGGATTATTTGAAATTATGGCAAAGCGATACTAGAATGGCTGACCTTTCAATGTGCTAAGAAGCTCCTGTTCTTCCTTCTCCAGTTGTCTAAGCTGCTCCGCCTTTACCTTCTCTGTTTCCGTTTCATCGCCACCCCCGATTCCGTCAATCTCTCCATGCTCTTCCCCAAACGCAAAAGCTTCTCCTTTACCCTCATCCTCGTCGAACCCCCACGGCTTGTATCCTTCTGCAGTCTTCCACTCGTCATCATGATCACTTAAAGCTCCTCGGCTTTTCGACTGGCGTTCCCCGTCGATCGCCTGAAATATATCCCCCTTGACATTTGGGGCCTCCCCGAGCCACGAGTCACCCATACCTTTAACGGCCCCTGGACGGGGGCCACCGACGTCGCCGTCAATGCCGGAGAGGCTACCCGCGGCATCCTCACCTGGCTTCCCAAACAGACCAGCGACGTCACGATCATCGTCACTGCTGAACCTCCAGGAGCCATTACCATCCCCGTCGTCCCGGCTTCCACCACCCTTCCCCTCGTCACTCGTGAAAGCCCTGGAGGGTTGCCATAGGCGTGGATTCCAGAGTAAGCCCGAGAAACAAGTCCTATGAAGGAGGGAAGAGTCGGGTATGGTCGTCCCAAGAGGCGGCAAGGATGGGATGAAGGCGGATGATCCTAGGGGTTGAGAGAGAGGGCGAAGGAACAGAAGCGAGGTGGAAACGAAACGGGAGCGCATTTATCTAGGGAGGGAAACGACCATGGGAGGATGAGAAAAAAGGAGGAGAAGCGAACGGAAGGAGGCGGAGGTGGGCGCCGGCGGCGCCCGAGAGACGAAAGGCGCAGGAGGCGGAAACGTACGCGTGGTGTTCAGGAGAGTGAGATGAGGAGGGTGTAGGGTTTTCGATGCAGACTACAAGCTGATGACTGCAGAGTGAGTCTAAAGTGGCAATTCTTCGCATGAATGAGAGGAACATAAGAAACTTTCAGAAAATCACACGCCGAGGAAAAATCAAAATTTAATTCATGTCGCATGTTTTGCCAAATGTCACCCTGGATACTACCCTGAGGGGTAGTAGTAACCTTAGCCCTCCTTTGTCAACGTTTTCTATCGATTGTACCCACCCTTGATACAACTACTTCTTGGTGGCTCTGAAAGTGTGTTATATGGCAAATTTTCCCTTCTATTATATTTTTATATTACAACTATTCAAATATTATTGATAACTTAGATGTTGTATTATGTAACATTTTCTCCATCACACAAAACCTGACAAAATTTTCATCATTCCTTTCATTAATGAAAGAGTTTGGGGCCATAATTTGTGGGAACTTTACCTTATAGGCTAGGATAGAAATCCCCAATCCCTACTTGATACCCCTTGCTTGACCCACTTCCTGAAAATATGTAAGAAAATAGTATTTGGACATAATGGTAGATAACATCATGAATATAACAATAATGTTGAATAAATTTAATATAAATTTTTTTTTTTGAAGGGAAATGAAGATACGTTTTCTTTGTATGGTCCTTTAGTGTGATATCGAGTACTCCCAAGATAAGATGCTAGTCGAAATAATAAATACAAAGAATACATGCATTGCGACTCATGCTAGGTGTCATTCAATTGAAACATCAACAATCATCATTGACAATGAGCATTGAAGTTATTATGCGAATGAGGTAAAACCAGAAAAAGAGTGACACGGATGAGGGTCCAACATTCCATGCCAACACCTAAAACCATCTAAATTGATGTGAAATATTTTATAGAAGATTGATAAATCATAAGGCTAGGTGCAAGCAATTTCCTGAAGAGTTCTAACAAAAAGCTTTACATCGATTAAACCTTCCGTATTAGGAACATTATTAGAAGAAACATTTAATTTAAATAAAAATATATATTCTAGAACAAATATTACAACATACATTTCTTGGGATCCATCTTCCCCCAACTTTCTTTCACAGTCATATGTCAAATTGATACCAAATTTCGAAAGTTTTTTGCACGAGTTTCTTTTTGTTCTTAATAATACACACAAATTTGTGAACAAATGTAAATAGAAACTTTATGAGCGTCATTGTGGCGCAAAAATTACAAATGAAGTATTTTCATGCACCATAAAATCGTTTTGAGACTCAAAATGTTTTAATATCCTTAATCAACCCATTTTGGTGTTGTCTCATAACTCACAAAATCCATTGCAATGGCAATCTTAGATCATTTATGGGTGAGGGGAGCCTGATCATCTTAGATAAGTCCATAAAGTACATACAACTACTTCATCTTGAATAACACACATAGAGACAATGTAATCCCACTATATGAGTCAACTTGTTATGATAAAGAGTTGAGTTTTTGCATAGTTGGTCAACTCGTCACCTAGTTAGGATGATCTATTTACTCTATTTTATTGAATTGATCAACCAATTTCATAACTTAAACTGTTTCACGTTTTAGAATAAATTCACTCATCCAAGTGTAGAGTTCAACCTTAAGTCACATGATCTGCACTTTTTGTTAAATCATATGACCAAAGTAATAATTTTGCTTGATTCATCATTTGTTTTTTGTTATATGAAATTTGAAGAGGTTTGCATTACATAACTTAATGATAACTTGTATATTGTACAACCTAAACAAGTCAACAAAGGATAATTCACTCCCAAGGCTAACCATTGTTTGATCATTGGATGCTTCACTTGCATTTTAACTATTGTGGATCTAATAGATGATACTCATATATACAACTAAATAAGGAGGGGACAAGGAAACCTAATTTACAAGATTTTTTTGATAATATCACCTTATAATAAGTTAAAATAATTGATTACTATGATGGGAGCAGGGCTTTTAGAGCTATATTCTAAGATGCACTAACACTTCACACCATCCCTCAATAAATAACTAGTTGGGCAAGGAAGAGAAGAAATAGTAGACATTAGACTAAATTAAATAGCATAAAAGACCAACAAATAGTCTTGGGCTATGTTAAGTCTCCTATTGGAGAAGAGAAGGGAATTATATATTGGATTTCCCATCATCAGTAGTAACTTATTTGATAGACAATATTATTTTTCAAAATTCCCTTCTGATTCTTTTCACAAAATTGCATCTAGAATAAAGATTCTCTTGATTTTCTCAACAACACTAAGTAGAGCTTTCTCTTTCTTGTCCTTCACTCTTTGGAATTCATTGCCCTCTCTACCAACTTTTAAATATAAGTACATGGTAAACATTTGAGACTCATAATTACAACAAGTAAAAAGTTTAAAAAATAAGTTCACACAAACATACTATATATAGTTTTTTATAATATTCTAATACATCTTTTTTAGAAAATTATAATTCATCACTCTTGGGCTTAATATTATTTTATACCATAAAAAATGTTCAATAATGCCTTGAAACTTTATGAAGACACGTTTGCTTAGTCTGAATTGATGTTTGCTTGAAATAATTCACAACTTTTATAAAAAAACACACTAGTTACATTAGTTTGTCTTAGTGGTTGATGAACCTGATATAATCCAATTTTACTGATTGATTACAAGTAACATCTAATAAAGTTTCCAAAAACACCTAGAATTTAGAAAATTCAAAATCAGTTGGTTGTGAAACAAATAGACTGAGTTCAAAATGTCAATAATCCATCATTGCATGCAATCACTAATTACCAAAAAAATCAAAATATAAATAAAATTTAAGGTATATATGAGTATAAAAAAACTGATACAATCTGTCATGTCAACTTTACAAATAAGTTAACGGGCTACAAGAAACTTGGCAAAACTAAAGCCTTTGATACAATCAAGAATTTGTATACATCTCTCTCAAATGCAAAGCATAAATTGATACCTAAACTATGTTTCAACTCAACTAAAAGATTAGATAAATTTCAATTCATTTGAATCAATTTTTAGTATTTATTAAAAACTGAAATTATCACCTCTAAAAGACAACCTATTGGCGTAGAGAAATCTGTAGAAGAATAGAAATCAGGCCTTGAATTCTTGAGGCATAAAAGTTTGCAATCATTGAGGATTTATTTTCACGATCCTTGAATCCACAATAATCAACATAGTGTCTCTTAAATCAACATGGACTGTTTGATTAACACAAGAAAATAGAAAGATCTCAAAGAGAAAGAAAATATTATTATTTACCATCTCTTGACTTGACATTGTGCTACCTTTTAAATGGACCAAAACCTATCATAACTATCCCAAGAAACTAGATCAATTTTAAAACTTAATATTAAAGCTATTAAAAATAAGAACATTTACTATTCTATAATTTTCAGACATTTTGGGCCTAATTACTTTGATATTGGACTTAAAAGTCATTTTAGGTTTTCTAGATGCTTGTAGTTGCATTTTTTACACTTTCAAGCGACCCATGTCACTACTTTTTGGTACAAATATTTGCACAATTTTGTGCTCCATCACATGGATGCTAGGCTTGAAGTCATTATGGGCCTTGAAATGTTTGTAGTCAACATTTTTACCCTTCTAGGCCACGGGCCACAAATTTGAGGTATTTATCATTTTTTGAAGTTTGTCACACATCACTTATATTGTGTTGAAATGTAATAGAATTTCCTCATTGTAATTTTGTGATTGATTGAACCAATTTTAAGTCTTTGTTTGGTTATAGAATTTCTTCTTCTCTAGGTATAGGTTTATTTACTCACATAATTCGCCTTGAATCTTCTAACCCCACCCTCACTTGTTTCATTTGTACGGTTCAATAGCAAGGTTTCCGTTTCAAAGTCCTTTCCATAATAAAATTTCCTAATGGACCAATCGTGTATATAGTGCGGTCCATTACAAGGAGACCATATCGGAGGATGAAGCTAGAAGAAGGCATCGTTGAGGATGAGGCAACCATACAGAAGAAACATGGAATATGTTCCCACCATGCTATATGAGTGATAGCTGTGGCAAATAGCGGCAACATGACCAACCATAGAGGAAAAACCAATCAATAAGTTAGCAGAGGTACCAAGTGTTGGGTATCATGGGTAGTAGACCCCATCACGATTCGACAGTGATGAATGACAGAGTGCAAGGATGACCAAAACCTCTGAGATTTATGATCGACTGTCACTAGCAAGAGACGACCAATCACTGAAATAAAATTCCAATAACTTTGATTACATGGCGTGACACAATGTTCTTTTACAAGCAAGAAATAAGGAGTCAAAAGGGAAAAGCAGAGACAAGGAGAAAAACTCTAACGAACTGTGCAGCTCTAATGAGAGTTTTCTTAAGAAAGCACACAACTATAGTAGGAGGTTTCTGCAGATTCCCTAGTTCGAAGTACCATAACATTCACGCTCTAATACCACGAGATTGGGTGTACACTGCTGGGCAACGAGCAAGATAGATGAACTTGAGTTATTGGGCACTAGATGTAATAGCCCATTTATTATTGCATTGAGGATAGTGCTGATTGCGCTCAATACAGAAAAATAATTCTAACACAGAAACTCTTCGACTCAGACAAAGGTTGAGCAGATTTTCAAATATACAGGAATTTAATAGTGCTGGAACATTCCTTCATAACGAATAATTAACCAAGTGAAGATTAAAAGGTGCAAAAATATATTGTAAGTAGGCTTAGAGCGGCTCATGGTGGAGTGCCAGACCACACTATTAAAAGAGAGAGAAAGTGTGCGGTGAAATTATAGGACTCCACATTAACCTTCAGCTGTCAAGTTAGGAAGCAATAATAAACCAAATAGGAAAATAGGACAAACACATATATTGTTGCATCTACTATTTCGACATATAAACACAGTATCTGTGGTGTAGTCAATGAAAGATGATAACCTCAGTACAGTGTGTTATGATATGCTATTTGCCCTTGCTGGCAAGATTAAATGAACACCAGCAGGGGATCCCTATTTACGGAACACAGCTAACTATTTTTCTCGTAAGATTTCAATATTACTGGTGTGATCTATGTGCATGTCAAATAGATGGAAGCATTTTCAAAAGATAAGAGCTCACAGTACGGTAAATAATGCGAAATAGTTTATACTAAACTTCGTTCAATGGCTACAGGCGGTGACTTCTTTAGGCCACACAGGTGTACCTAAACTTCCCATAAAGACAACTAGTGATTTCCAAGTGAAGCTGACGAAAGTGTACCAAGGCTTAACGGGAGTTGCTCCATCTAACAAATGAAAACAGAAATTGGAGAAACAAGAATAAAGTGATGCATACAATCACTCTTCAAAAGGGCATATTATAAAGCTAGAAGCAGGAATTAACTTAAATTCCATGGCTTTTTCTTATCTCTGTCGATGATATATCCGATCGGAACCTGTCCTCGGGTATCGAGATGAACATGTCCATCAGTTCCTCTGGAATAGCTAAATCGTCAAGAACCTGATAATTTTATACACATTTTGTTAAGGTTTTCCCTGTGATGTCAAAGAACAATATTTGAGGTCACTTCATCATGGCACACCTTAAAATCGCCATCAATTTTTCGACCACCAACGAGGAATGTACAAGATAATCTTTTGCAGCCATTCAGGATTTCAATCATCTGGTGATAGCTTTCTCCATAATATTTTGGCTGAAAAAGACAGGTTTGAGTTCATTAAAGATTTCACCCCAGAATCTAAAAGGGAGAATTTTTCACAAATAATGCGAATAGGGACGGAAATTTACATGACGGACAGAACTACAGAAAATTATTTCATTATGCTGCACACGACTCTCAACCTCAACTAGTTAAGGAATAAACAGCGACTTACCTAGTATCCACATTCATAATTAATGCAAAAACCGACTAAATATTAAAGGACCTGATTCGAGCAGTTAAAATAACCAGACAAGACCCTTAATAGAACCTAGGGGAAATTAAACTAGACGTCTGACTGGTTTCATTAAAGAGGACATAGCATGATTTGGGAGGCAAAAATATCCGTACATATGTTGCATTGATGTCCACCTATGCCTGTCTCTGTTTTCTGTTGTCTTCTCCTCTGCTGGCCATGGCATCATCCATGGCCTCTACCATCAGGGAATGGTAAAATTTCTCCGAGAATATGTATTCTAACAAACAAATTGAGTCCCGTCTCAACCAAGGTGTGGTATTGGGACCGAAGATAGAAAACAATGACCATGGCATCAGAAAGCCAGACTGCATCAGACGTAATTAACCATCTCAGATTAGGACAGCGAACGGAATCTGCATCAGCCTATAGAGCAATCCATGATGAGAAGTGCCTTTCAGGTAGTGAATAATCTTATGAGTCGCGGCAAAGTGTCAATGACAAAGAATCATTCATGAAGTGGCACGCTGTATTTATAGCATAGGATATACCAGGCCAAGTAAAGTTAAAACATAAGAAGCTTACAAAACGTTGACAGTGATCATAAATTTTTAACAAAAGATTAGCGTCCATATGTGAATTAAATTGTGTTGTTATCTGATCAAGAGAAAGAAATCAAGCTTCACAAGGATGCGCTGATTCAAAAAGAATACAACTGGGGATCTATGTGCCTCATCCAAGAAGTGAATGAATAACCCACATCTTTTATCCGAAATGACTATTGAAAAATGTTTTTAACATGCCCCGTTCGTGGAATCATCCACAGAACTCAACAACACATTAACTTATGTAATAAGAGAGCAAGACCACTAGAACGCCATTCTCAAAAGAGAGACGGATCTTGTCAGCTGTATTAAAATTATGCATGTAGAATGGTAGTCCTCAACTCAATGAATCAGTCCGAACATATCAGTAAAGATTTTTTCATGCTTCAAATAAAGTACGGTGAGTTCAATGTATTTCCCTATTGCCACGTCATCAATGCTTCTCCATCCACGTCACCATTAAAAAATGTATTTTTTGCGCCCATTTGAAAGCTGGGATATGATTTAGAGACAACAAGTGCAAAAAGAGTTTTAACCATTTTCATATCAGCAACAAGAGTAAATGTATGACGATAGTTAACATCATACTGTTGTTTATTCCCAAACTCACATGCATGGTAGTGATACATTTTTACTGATGATGTATATCTCTCAAACAATGCTCATCATATAGTGTAAACCATTTTTATATATAATGGGTCTAACAAAGAAAGAACAAACATGAAGGGTTGACAATCATTATATAGCCAACTTATAACTATCAATCTCATGAAGTATAGACACAAACGGGCATATATGTCTCCAGTGGTATTATCTGAACATCAATACACAACAAGTTCAGATTTCTTACATGAATAAGCCTTGCGGCAGTGTCTGCACCAATAACAAATGCACTACCGGGAAACAACTCAGCTTTCTTGTAGAAATATGGCTGATTTGATAGAATGACTGTCTTCCCTGTGTAGAGAAACAATCACCATGGCATTACGAAAACTGCAAAATTATTGCATAGTTTACACATATAAAAATCAAACTTTTGAATTCTCCAGACAGAGAAAACTTATGTAGCCAAGAAGGCAAGAACATCTAATTTATATTGTTAAACTGTAGAATAAAAGTTAGTGAACCAGGTATTACCCGAGGTATGACACTACATTAGGTGCCAAAGACCATCAATCTCATACAAAAACGTCTAAAATAAATCATTTGGATTAGTGACATTCATTATTCTCTTTAGCTATATGAAAAAATTCTGTTTGCAAAAAAATAAAAATCTTTTAAGTGTGGAAGATCAAAATATTAAAATATATATATTTTAAAAAGAATTAATAAGAACCAACACTAAGTAAACACTTTTTTTGAAAACAATTAACTCTATTTAATAAATAACTCTTTATAGTAAATACTAATATATATGCAATAAATATCATCTTAACCGTTTAAATCACCACTAGATTGTCCTTACATGAAGTCCACTATTCAACTGCAGATAAATAGCAATAGATCAGAAGGCAAACATTTTTTTCGCAGCTAGAATCACAACAATATGAGTTGGAGAGCAGAGGTAAGGCAACCTTGGTGAGCACCCAAGCAGTTTCTCACCTGGGGGATCTAGAAGCCTAGGGAAATGCATCATTTAGGCAATGCCTTGAAAATCTTTGTGAAAAAATAGAGATATAAATGTCATAGAATGAGTAATCTAAAACTTATACATAGCATGCAATTTATATAATATTATCAATGTGAAACATGACAAGTCAGTAATCCTAACATAGAGCATCTTAAAAATTGCAGTATGTGAAAACAGAAATAGTTCATAAATAAAGTTTATAACCTGACGGGTGACTTTTATACATGTTATTTGATCAAGGTTGTTTGTTGATGCTTTACCGATACTATTTTGATAATTGTCTTCTTTTACATTTTTCAGGTTTATGAGTTATAAAAGAACAATCTTTGATTGACATAAATTTTAAACTTTTATTGGATTCTGGTAACACAGTATTAATTATTCCATAATATTTAATATTTAATACTTCTAAATCTTCATATCGGTTTGTTTTTATCCCTTTATTATGTTAGTCTCAGTACCAGAGATTCATGCCTGGGTCAACATTTCGTATGAAGGATATTGGATCTGGTTTTTCATATAGAAGTGAAAACACTAGACATGAATCTAAAAAAAAACTCAAAGAATATAAAAATCTCGTAAAATATTAATCATTGTCAACGAGTCTAATTAAAACTAAATATGTCGCACTAAAAAGGAATTTGAGACAGAAAAGCACACACCAGCTTTCTTAAATTGAATCACTCGCTCTTTGATCTGAGCTATTGATAATGGTGGTTTATCCGCATTTACAACTGAAATCTCAAAGCAAGGAACCCTATTGCAAAGCATACTACAGAAGACATAAATTAGTCAGAATGTTAAAAAGCTGATATTAAAGCATAACCAGTTAAAACATTTTTTCGTAATCATGAATGTTTTCACACTGCTATTTAGGTAAGAAGAGATAATTTCATGATAGAACCATAAGCAATTGTCGACATGCAGCTAAATTATTTAGAGTCACAAAAATAATTGGTCATCAAGTACTTAATTTGTCATAAAGATAGTCTTGTCTATATGGAGATGAATTTTCTCTTCATAGAAAATCCTAAAAATGATCCAGTTTTTTTCTTTACAACTGAAATGATCCAGACAAATACTAAGGATCTGCAATCAACTTGCATACATCAGTATGTGGAAGTAAAAAATTAGTTGTTAACCTTGATGCCACTTCCAAAAGCTTTAGGTGTCCATCATGTAAGGGATTAAATGATCCCGAAAGTATAATCTTTTGATCTGAACTGTACGTACAAGTATCTGAAAGTACATGCACCTGAATAAGATTTATCTCCAAAACGGATAACTTAATTATTCTCATGTAGTCGTAAGTGACTGGAATATTTCAATAATTACCAAATGGATATACTTTCATGCATATTTCCCCATTAATAAGTTGCTGTAACTCTTGATCCTCGTCAAACAGCTTTTCCAATTCATGTGAATCTTCCACTTCAGTTAGTTCCGAGTCAGACGTACCACATACTTGGCATGCATCTCCAATAGCCTTAGACATAATATGCATAAAAGGAAATATTATGATAAGAACACGAGGAAGAAAGTTCGAACCAATATTATGTAAAACATCCGAAATGCCATGGAATAATCAAAAGAAAAAAAGCACACCCAACTTTTTGCAAACAAGAAAAGAGAACGATTATATAAAAGGCCACGTTGAACATGCAACTTTGGGCATGATTTAGAACTTTCCAATGTATGATTTGAGCATGAAATGTCTGGTTACCGAATATGAAAATGATCCTTAGTGTTCGTTATCATGCCTCCAAGGCTTCCCATAGCAATCAACACTAACCCAAGCCATCAGTTGAACTGTCGATTGAACAGTGGTTAACCTTTAAACCATGACATGGACTTTCACAGAGAAGAAAAATTGGCAAACACACAGTAGATTCACCTCAGACTGACAGGGCAAGAGTGAGTAGGAAGTAGAAGCATAGAGTATTGGTATTCTGTGCACAAAATATCTTCCGTCTAATTGGAATGGTTGACCTTCATTTGGCAAATATGACAACCAAACTATCGTGATCAAATAAATCTAAAGAATTCTGTAGGGAATTGAGAATATAGCGTAAGAAATGCTGCATATGCCTATAACATTTGAGTTCGGACATATCACAAGTCTACCTTTATTTCTTCTTTTTTTTTTTATAGTTAATGGTGGGACTTTCGGTATGAATCATGTTGGTTTGAGGTCCAGCTATAAAATCACCCTAAGCATCCCCATTTCGCATTCAAAAAAAACAAAGTTAATAGTTGTGAAATGAAGAATTCAAAAAGCAAGAGAAACTAGCAGAGGAGCTACAGTTGTATGCACCAGCTCAGGAACATTTTCCAGGTACTATATCAATTTGGTAAAAAGACTAAAATACCCTCCTTAGATTATACAAACAACAAACCACCCGTTGGCTAACGAGTTTATTACCCAGATCCAAAATCATGAACAATTAGAAAAGAAATAAATGCGAAAACTGGGTAAATTTTGGAATATTTTTTGCGATTACAAATTCTTGCAAAAATAATAAGAAAAAGGCAGGTAGGAAATTTATTTAGATAAATATTTATAAAAACCAAAAAAATGATAGCTACGTTTAACAAGCCATACCTTCAGTAAAAATTTGCTAGAGATCGTGTCTTCTTCTTCACGACTTCGCAGACCCTATATGAATTAATCAATACCAAAACCTTTACAAGCTTTTCAGGTAAAAAAAGTGAAAGACTGAGATAAGATGACGAGTTAAGTACCTTAAATAATGTTACATTTGATGCCCACAGACGACTGGATGTCCTTGTGGATACGATAAACCTGCAAACATAATTTAATAACTCGAATTCATGAATGAAAGACATGTAGACGATTGTGTTTGACCGGATATTTTTTGGTCCTGACATGGAAGTGGAGAGTAAAATCATGTAATCCTATTTTTTAAGCAGCAGATAGTAAAACACTAACGATGGCATGCAATGTAATCACATAGACGAGACGGAATGGAAAAAATAGAAAAGAATACAAAAACAAAGATAGAAACATGAATTCGGAAATCTATTGCATGATGAAGCAGAAACGAGAATTTAGGTACCTAAGAAAAGAATAGGATTGAGAAAAATCCTAAGAAACGAATCAAATAGACATCACCATCAAATGTTGTGCTCTCAATCCTAAGAAAAGAATAGGATTGAGAAACGAGAATTCAGGTACCTAAGAAAAGAATAGGATTGAAAACACAGCATCAAATAGACATCGCCATTAAATTAATCACAAGGGCACATTCCACAAAATTGAGTAATTTAGAAAGATAGAAGTTGACTCTGATAGATCCACACTTCATCCGTCAAAAAACTTTTATAGTCCAATAAGCAATCACATATCCATGGAAATATCACTATTTCTTGATAGATATTACTATGATGTACGGAAAAATCCACAAATCTATTTCAGTCGCTGCCATCTCTGACAAAGAGTAGACATCCTAAATGAGAACAAATCATTCACCTACACAGGTCCCTAATTTTTTTCAAGAAGCAAGATGCACAGAATGTAGAAGGCTGGCAGTTTCTTGTAGATTACATTAGAGCTACTTAATGATAAATGGTCACAAATTCAAGAAACAAGATGCCACTCATCCTAACCGCATATGAAAAATGTTGGCATATTTCATAAAATAAACTTAATGTAAGGTAAGTGACAATCAGCTAAAAGCATCTAGGAAACAAAAATAAAATTCATACCAGGCATTGTCAAGGCATAAAGTCAATGCCTTTCCGTCGTTAATTGAAAAACATTTTTCTCTACAATTGGCACTTTAGAAAGTTTCGAAACCACCTTATGTCATATGCATATTAGTTTTTACAATTTTCCACTTCCAATACGAATAGTTTTGTAGATGCGAGTTACTTATCTACCCCAAGTGGGCAGTAAGATCCCTGTTTCTTATTAAAATGACAAAATAATAACATCGATACACTTTATAAGCTCATCATTGAAAAAAGAGTTTGGTAATCAAGTACTAAAGGAAATGCAGAATTACTAGATAATAGATCATTATGTTCATGATGCTTCTAGATGAATTATTAAAAATTAGTTCGTAAAATGTGTTATTTGAAACTGTATGTGAAGATGTGTGCACAAAAGGACTATTACATGTAAAACAGTGGATCTGGAGTTTCTCTATTATGTTAATAAATAAACAGACAGGAAATGCATACCTATGCCCTCCACGTTTTGGACCTACACTAGCTAAAGAGCCTGAAAAGCCCACACCTAGAACTGGACAGCCTGTCAACAAGAGTTGAACTATGACATGAATTGAACTAAAACATTTCAAACTTTATAATTCACAGCATAACAGTTAATAAACATAAAAGGAAAGTAGAAGCCAGAATCAACAGAAAGATGCTAGGAAATGCTGCGCTGAAATTTGGTCTCAGGACATCGAACCCAATAAATCTATCTGAGTCACTAATACAAGAATTCGCACCTAGGGAACTCGTGAGAAACCAAAATCCGTAGAAAAGCATACAGCAATCTTTAAAATGGCTCAGCAACCAAAAATATAATCCACACACAAAAACGTCATGGAAATCTTTATAAAATCAATACCTTTATTAATACAAACACAAATATGAAAAACACCACAATACAACAATGCAAATTATTACTACTATCAGATGCCTTAGGCCAATGAACCCTACTTCAAGTAATATCTAATTTTCTGCTCTAAACAATGCCATCTTTATTCCTGGTAATCATGCACATCATGTCAGCCATACGCCAGACATGTTTTTTCCATTGCTTTTCAGTTCATCTTTGTTCTTCATTTTCAACTTTGAGTTGGTAACAATTCGTCTTAAGAATTTAGTGGACTCCTATTTCCAGTAGCATCCCCAGAGCACAGTTGCGAAACCTGAGAAAAGTTGGATAAATCTAAAGTATGAGCGTGAATGATTCATCTATTGGATGATGATTCCTACTGCTATTGGCTGAGAAAAGTTGGCTAAATGATTCCTACTGTACACATCTCTCTGATTAATTTCTCAATTTCACATTTCTTGAAACTGGGGTACCCATAGGATCAGACGTTGATTGGAGTAGTCCCCAGAAGTAATGTAATTGTGTAGTCAATGTCCCTTTCTAGTGGTAGGCCCACAGGGGCAAGAAATATCTCCGGAAATTTCAATTGAAGTTGCGTCAGATCAACAGAATACTGGTTCAATTTGATCATTACTTGCTTTGCAGCCACTTTGTCTTCTGAAGTGATTTGATACAGCTCTACTAGGAAGCTGTCCCCAAGTTGCAGCTCTTTTGCTAAGGATTTCAAGGTAATATTTGACATGCATAGACTTTGGTCCCCTTTGAGTGTGATCTTGGATCCACTTTTGCTGAAGCTCAAAATGTATTTATTCCAAATGATCTCCATAGGCCCCAACGATTTCAGCCATTGCATTCCTATAATCAAATTAGTATTATTCAGATCTCCTTCACTTTACTCAGACAACTCTAACAACAAATCCTTCCAAATACCCATGCTCTTCACCTTCACACGTGCCTAAGATGACTCCATAATTCGCTGTGAGGGTCAGTGGCAGGCACAATTTTTGAACTTATTCCATAGAAATGAAATTATGTGTTGCGCCGTTGTCCATTAAGACTGATACCTCATTACATTCGCCTTTCTCCAAAGGTTTAGCATCCCCGAATCTGTCAGTTCTACCATTGAATTGCGTGACAATTTGATATACCCCATTGACTGCAATTCTATCCTAATGTCAGCCTCCAGTTTGTGGACTTTTGTGTCTACCCATTATGTTGGAATTTCTTGTTCTAGATCTTCCTCAAGGACGATAAGGACCTGAAGCTCCCGTTCGCACACATGCCCTTGGTGTGAACTTCTCGTCACATGAGAAGCATAGACCCTTGGGATGCCGGAACTGCAACTCTTCTTCCATTAGGTCGAGAGGCCTCTTTGTTCCTTCTCTAAAAGGTGTAGTTGGGCCTCCTCTTGCTGATGGGCCTCTTGACCCTCAATTGTTGAGTCTATCCACTTGTGTTTCTTATTGGAGACCAGATTCAGTCGGTCTCCTCTTGGCATAGTCTCCATTCCTTATGGGAAACCTGTGCAGACCAGAGGCCATTCCATTATAGAGGTTAGGCTTTGTGATTCTGGTCCCTGCATTCTCTCTTGCAGGTCATAGTGCATTCTTCCTCTCCTTCACGAGCTGTGCTATCCGCATGATTGCCTTTAGGTCCTTGGGATTATGTAGTTTGACTTTTGTTCGAACCTCATGCTTCAGCCTTTTAATGAAGGTGCTCTTGAGGACCCACCCTCTCTTGTAACTCGTCCATTGAAGAGGACATTAACTTGAAATCCCTTTTTTACTCACTAAGAGTCCCAGCTTGGGTAGACTTGAAGCATTCCATCAAATGCTGTTTAAGGTCCCACAAAGTCACGGGCACCTGGCATCAATCCAGTGAGTGATACCAGGCAATATTCTCCTCCTAAAAGCTCAACTTAGCCGCCATCATCTTCTCTGCTTATGACATAGAATGTATTGCAAAGAAGATCTCCGCTCAGTAGATCCACTCTTCTGGGTTGTGATAGATGAGTGATCTTTATGTATCCAATCAGCTATTGGATGACCTATATGGGCCCACAATCTTCTCCAAACTCAATTTGAAATCAAGTTACCACCAAATCAAGATGAAAAAGTTTAATATTCCCAAAAAAAAACTTCAACACACATGAGGGGCACTACAAGTTTCGGGTGATATCTTTCGGACTATCTAATGCACTATCTACATTCCAATCTCAAATTAATTAAGTTTTCTGAGAATTTCTCCACAAATTGCTATTAGTGTTCTTTGATGATAATTTAATTTACAACAAGGACCACCCAACACATGAGAAGCGCTTAAGACATGTCCAAGACATATGTTGGAATGGGATGAAGAAGATTGTTCATGAGTATGTAGCCAAGTGTTCAATCTATCAAGAAAATAAGTATCAAACCTTATCTCCAGCATATTACTCCAGCCTTTAGCAATCCTAAATCAGGTATGGGATGACTTATTGATGGATTTTATTGATGGGTTACAAAGTCCTCTGGTTGTAACAGTGTTATGGCCGTGGTTGATTGTTTCAACAAATACACTCATTTCTCGTTGTTGAAACACCTATACACAGCCCAGAGAGTAGTTGGTGTTCCTGACATTATTCGATTACATGAGACACCTCTCTTCAAAGTTTTGGACAGAGACAGAATCTTCATGGGTCATTTTTAGATAGAGATCTTCATACTACATAGAATCAAGCTTCAGCACAGCACTGCCTATAACCCACAGACTGATTGCCAAACAGAGGTGGTAAATCCTTGTTTGGAGACTTATCTTCACTATTTTCAGGCAATCAATCATGAAAATAGAGTAAATGGCTTGCATAGGCAGAACATTGATATAATACAGCCTTTCATTTCACAACTAGTTTCACCCCGTTCAAAATTCTTTATGGCAAGAACCCTCCTTCGTTGATTAGAGTAGACACATGAGAGGAGGTATCCACAAATATTATTTAGCAATAAAAAGATCGTGATGAGATCCTCATACATCTTATGTAGCACCTGCCACGAGCACAGGCTCAAATGAAGGCGCAAGCAGATGGTAAGCATCAGGAAGTGCAGCATATTAGTCAGCAATTGGGTTTATTTGAAGCTCCGCCCCGATTGCCTACAGTCCATTGTGTGCCAACCAAATGAGAAGCTCACTCCACGATTTTTCAGATCATATCAAATCACAGAGCGCGTCAGTCTGCTAGCTTATTGTTTACAACTCCCACCAACAGCCCAACTTCACCCTATTTTCCATGTATCACAGATCAAGAAGGCGATTGGAGAAGCACATCATAGCATTCTACTACCACCACAACTGGACGCTGACCTCAATTGGAACATCAGCCCTCAACAGGTCCTGAACATATGCTCCACTACAGAAGAGACCAAAGCCGTGGTCCAGTTGGACCACTTTCCTAAAGAAGAAGCCACATGGGAGTCGGTTCCTACCTTACAGCGACAGTTCCCAGAGTTTATTCTTGGGGACAAGGTGACTTTGGCAGTAGGGTGTAATGTTAGGTTCCAAGGGAGTCAAACATACTCGAGACATAGAAAAGAGCCCAAGACAAGTCCCCAAAGAGACTGAGGAGATGAATTGAAACCTTAAAAGGGGTTCTGGGTCAAGCCCATTAAAGGGTACTATAGTCTTTCTCCTTGGCTGAGGAGGCTCTTTTTCATAGAAGAGGGTTGGGAGAGAAGAAGGGGGTATTCTGACTAGAGTTAGGGCTGCAGCCGCAGGAGGGTTAGGGGATCCTCTCAAAAGACCTCTTTGTTCTAGGGTGGGTTTGCTACTTCTTCATTACTACTTTAGTGTTCTTTAGCTCTTACCCTAATCCTTACTCTTGTTGTTGTCTCTGCTGGGTGCTATGGTTAAGACCCCCAATCGGGGATCCTAACAGTTTTCCAATGGCCTACCACAGTTTGTATTGCCCTCTTCTTTCATCAACTAGGTTGGACTGTTCTTGAGGACAGAGTTTCACGTAAAATAGCGTGATGGGAACCTTGATATGTAGCAACTCAAGTATTTGTTAATAGCACATCATCTATTGGCACTAGTTTATTGCAGACTATCATTTCAGCAATAAAGATGGTAAATAAGGATACATAAAGAGGAAGTTCTATAGCCAGAAGTAAGAAGCATTTAAAGATCAAGAGTGGCTTCTCAAATACAGCATTATGATCTCTGGGTTATTTATCTCTGTTAGCATGATTCTATGAAGACAGATGTGAGACGTGGATGCTTCAAAAAAAGGTTTTTGGCAGAACTGGAAATACATGATATATGGTAACACAATATCAGACAAAGGGTTCTTTAACTAAAAATGAATGTCTTGCGATTGTTAGCAGAACTTCAAAGGGGGAAAGGGAAAAAAATAAAGCCAAGGAAGTTAACTATAAGGTTGGTTTATTGGCAGGTAGTGCACACACTGAAAAAGAGAATAAAAATTTGAAGCCCATGAAGTTCAAAAAGGTTATAGTATTATAAACAATAATCCAAGAGCCCTTCTTTTAAAGATCTAGCATCTAGTTCCCAAGTTATGGTTTTTCATTATTGAAATAAACTAGGACTGGGTAAAATAAATCAAGCCAAGGCATGGTGATGTAAAAATTGGAAATATAACTTGAAAAAGCTAGGAGTCAATCTGTCAGACTACAAGCTATAATTGTGTGACAATCCTGCCTTATCACAGGTTGACCTTTGAGACTTATTTTTCTTCTTTATATAGGTGCTAAAAATTCTGAGGTTTAGTTCAAACACATATCCAAGTGTCAACACCTAAGGTATAGGGGTCGCTTCTCCCTACGTTTTTCTAGTTTCTATTTTGCTCTCAAATGTCCAAACTTAGGCTTCATCAGTCGACACTTTACACAAGTGTTCACACTTCACTTTCAGGGATCAACACTCAAGTTCTACCTCGAATTTTGCAAACGCTATAACTTATTTTTTGTATACATTGGCAGATGAATACTAACTCATCACTTTCATTCATTAAACGTTCTGACCAAGCTTCATACAGAAGATTAACCCAAAGTTGAATAAAATTTTATAAAGGCGCCACTAAACCTTCACTTCAAACTAATCATAAACAAATCTGCCGTCAATGCTACCATGCTTCTTACCATTACTTGAGGTTATCAACTTTAAAACAAACCCAATGATAAGTACCTCCTCTGCCTTGTTTTCTACATATTCCTTCAATTTAAGTTCAAAAAGGCAATTACTATGAACAGAATAAAGGATATTATCACTGAAGCAGGAGCCATCAGCTTGACGATCATCTACCTAATGTTGGTCCCAAGTCATTGTAAGAATCAAAATGAGGATGAATTAGTCTTCTACACTGAGGTCAGAAAATAAACTTAATTCATATTCGTGCAAAAAAAAGGGATTGACTACTTTTAAATCGTATACAAGCTCTTGATAGGCAAGGTATAAGACGAATGTTAAGATATACTAAATCAGTTGGTTCTAAGTAAGGATTGTGGTACTCTAGAAAATGCCATCTCTTGAAGGATAGACATCAGGTTAGCAAGTGGGTTTGGATGATCATAGGAGATATACTCTTTGTTGGTGGAAACCTTGTTACTAGAGAAGAGATGCAATTTTATGAGCCACATCAAGTGCAAAAAAAATATTAGGTAACAGCTCATAAAATTGATGGGAACCTATGGCTTAAGATTTTATTCAAGATGTCTAAATGAAGTTGCATATGAAGTTATATCGCAATAGCAAGGTAGTCACCGATATGAAAAAAAATATATATGATACAACAAAACATATTGAAATTGATCACCACTACATTTGAGCGAAGCTCAAATCCATAGAGAGTCGTATGTCAATTCAAATGGCCAATGTTTAGCTATTTAGATTGACAGATTTACACAAGGCGACTTCAGCACAACATTATGCAAGGTCAACATGACAAGTATCTGTAATTTTATTGAGTGAGAATGCCAAGAACATGAATGCGTTGATGTCTTTCTATTTTATCTTCAATTATGTATCCTCAGCACACTTGTACTAGATCTTTCTATGTGATATGTTTAAGGTACAAAACACCCGCCATCTCCATATCTGAGGTGTCTTCTCGTCCTCTTTTCTATCAACATGATGAAATTGAGACTAATGAATTAACAACTTATTGAATATTCTAACATAACTTCAACAAAATCTGAACACCAAGGTCTTCTAGGAGGAATTCCCTTGAACCAAAATTTAGCCAACTCCGTTTGATATCAGATAAACAAAAGGTACGGAAGGATGAATGAAGCAGATAAACAAAGTAGAAAAACATTGTTATGATTTAGCCTTCTAAAAAACCATTGAAGAACGAGAACCTGGTCTAGACAGCTTCAATGCACGATTGTAGGCCAACACTGCCATTTCTTCCACAACTTCTTGGCTAGTGAAATGCGAAGGAACCTAGAATTCAATAGGTAAGGAAACAGAGTGATAAATCCAACATACAATATGTAGCATTGAAATGCCTTTATTTAAGACAACAAGACCACTTTCTATTACCAGGATTCGTTAATCAAAGTTACTGATTAGCATCATAATTTACACATACCCAAGTCAAGGTCTATCAGATGTAGTAGCCAACTGAATAAAGTAAACTCTATTGATGATACACGATTTTAATGATATGCGACCTTAGATTTCTTCTACTTTCTATGTTGTCTAGTATGTCTGTGCTTGCTTGTGAATTAGAACGTATGAAAAGTCCACAAAAAGACAATAACCTTTGCCCACAGACTTACTATAAATTTGCAAATTAGACTGGATTGAAGAGATAAAACTAGGAGCAGGCTGTGGCACAGCCAAACTGACGGGGAGAAAAATCAAAAGATACTTAAAAAACCATGGGGCAGTCATTTTGAAGAAGGAAAGCAAGTGTGAAGATAAGGGCATACCTCAACAAAAAGAGATGCGAGATTAGAAAACTAAAGTTAAAAAACTTGGGAAAATCCAAGGATGTGAAGGTAAAAAGAAAAAACATGATGGAAATAGGTAATAAATCAAAAGATTATGTTGAAGATCATCTTATCTAGTAACTCTGACAAATTCTATGCACTTGTTAATGATATATCGAACAAACTTAGATAAGCGACAATCTAATGGCTTGCACTTTTTGTGACTTATTATTTCAAGGCGGTCTATAACACAATTATGTTGAAAGCAGCAACCAAGCCCAACGTTACCATACAGAAAAAAAGCACAGAAGAAAAAAACAACAGCAAATAGTACAACTAGATGAAAACGCCACCACCGTCCTCTCCTCTTAGATGATCATTGACGAAAGAGAGAAATAAATTGCAAGATATTTTACTTGCAAGTTTTTTGTTGATGCCAAAAGAGACTGACCGTTTTTCAGAACACCATACCAATAGAAAGATTAACACAGAAAAAAACTTATAATGTTATCTTCTTAGGGCTGTTTTTCTAAGTACTGTATATTGAGCTCCTTGCTTCTGTTGAAAGAACGACAGCTGATGGTAAATGCATATAACCAACGCACAAACTGAAGAATTGGTGAAAGGTATAGGGCTTAATTGCAGAACTCCGTATTTCGTACAATCTGTATGCAGAGTTAGAGATTTGGCAGTGAGTTAACGACCCCTAGTCATTAAGCAGCTTATTTTTTATGATACATTGCAACTTCAGCGATTTTAACAGTTTGTCTGCTGAAATAATACGATAATTTGTACAATAAGCTTTGCCAATGGGCATGTAACATAGAGACATGGGATGTTACAGAGGGATTCACATGTGAACAAAAATCTAAAAGCATTATAGAGGGGATTAATTGATAATTCGCATGGGAACAATACACTGAATTAAGACATATGGTCCAATCAAGACAGTCCATCTTCATCTGACCCAGACCACTGAATTAAATAGGTAAAGTTTGCTGGCAGGTTACAACACTAGACCGAGACCTTGAACAGCAAGTGAACTAAATGTATGGTCCCATTGTCATAGAACTTAGTAATAGTTTAAATGAAACTATAGGACATACACTACAGAAAAGATACTGAAATAGATCGCCTCAGTGTCAATGATACTATTTCATCTATTGCCAGGACCATATCGAGTCTTCCACCAGAATCTGGTGTTTTCCTGTCTGTAATAGATGGCCCCATGACTATGGATAAGCTTTCCTTTTGTCATGATGCTTGACATTAATCCCCATAGAAAGTGTTCCAAAGTTTCAGTCAACATAGTTTTGGACCAGCAAGGAGCTTTTTAAAGATATGCACTATTCGCACGATGAGTACACTACCTTGTTGGTAGCATAGTTGTGCAATTTAACCTCGTGAATAGATGAGGGTATCCCTGGGATCCAATCATTAGAACATATTGCCTATTATCTAAAATCCAATGGTCCTATGTAGTACTCTGGTACATGAGCTGATAGTCACTCCTATGAAGTTCTGTAACAGTGAGCTCCTAAAGAAGAAAATTCATTTCAGGTTACAATTAACTGAACTAATTTCCCAGAAGACAAAAGGCATTGACATCAAAGACCTGAATGAGAAAAACACGCTATCTTTGATTGGAAAGCATTAGTACCATGCCTAACCTCTGTCGTCTTATATTAGCTAATAAGATTATGCAAAGAAACCAGACCTTTCTGGTTGTGGTTTCTCCATAAATCTAAGATCTTATCATTACCATTAATTGACCCTAATCCTACGAGATACTGTTGTCTGAACTCTTAACCTACAAGACACTTTGTACATGAATAGATCGTACATTTTTTATAATTATCTCTGTAGCAGTTCTCTCAGGATTTGATAGGCTTTCATTGCTCAGCAGTAACACACGGGAATAGAAACACCTTGCGCAATAATATATGTGTTTCCAGCATCCTATGAAGGACAGAAACTAGATCTAGTTTAGCATTAAATCATCATGTCCTAAAGAACCTGGGCACTTCCCACAAAGGTGATTAAGCTGGACTAAGAAACTAAACTGATCACAATAATGTTAGAATTTTTAAGGCTTATGTTAAATCAAGACAAGAATGCAGTTCCTTTTAACATCAAAAATCTGTTCTTAGCTCAAGATACGTTAAACCACACAAAGAAGTGTGATTTCAAATATGCAATAACATGAATTCTTCATATTTACTCCATTTTCGAAATATGCTCTCTGATGTTTCTTGGGTTTGAGAGAAGAAAACAATCTTCTGTAATAAAAAAATGTCGCAGTCATGTGACAAAGTAGAATTCAAAACAAAAAAGTGGTAGATATCTTTCATGTGACTTTTGAATAACCCTTTTGCTGAGCTCTAAGATTGCCTTGATGATAACATAGTCCAGTTATGAGTATTCGTATTTTTAAACTATATGGATAGGCCTGGTGAAGACATCAAAACTTGTGAAGAAGCAGATATGGATTGGAAGCACCTATGTTTAGGCCTTGTGAAGACATCAAAACTTTCATGAGTCAAGAAGTACCTCAGTGCGGTAAATCCAACCCATATGAATAAAGTGGACCAGCAAATATTAAAAGGCAGCACACGGCTAGACTGTAAACCTTAAAAGCAGTTTTCAGAGGTACGATCCACCTGAGGTACTCAATAATAGATTAAAAGTATAGTACAAAAGCAATTTTTGAAAATTCTTCCTTTTAAAAAAAGAATTAGAATATGATGTAGTACGGTTTTCCATGACATAATTTTTCTTCATCCTCCTTGTTTATACTGCGGTTTACGGTAAGGTTCTCATTCTTTGAAATTTATTGTTGCTCAGATATTCGTCCATTATTATTACTAACACTGCATCAATAAGCCACAGCCTGAATTGTATTTCCTAATTGAGTGAATTATCAATGGCGATTTAGGGGGAAAACCTAGGTCTGATGTCGAACTAAATGCTCATAAAGTTCCTCACGCACCGGATGGCTACCTCTTTGGAATGGATCAAAGCGACTAATAGAAAATAAGAATGAGAAGATGATGGACAAACCATCCTCCTACAAACGAGAGATTGCATCTAATGACTCCTAGGGAAACAAATATGTTTTATGTGTATTCAAACTTGGCAGGGTTGCACAAACTTTCCCGGCCTATCAGGCTATAATTGAATTCGATCCCAAGACCTTCAATCAATAAATAATGCACAAACTTTCCCCGCATCAAGACGTACCCAGACAAACGATTCTTTTCATCTTTCCATCAAAGGCACCACACTCCAGAGCTTGAATGCTCTTCTGGTAAGAGGCAGACAAATATGGAACAAGAGGCCGCACATATCGAAAGGACAAAACTAAAACAGACACACAAACAAGTTGTCGGGGTTCGAGATGAAAAGAGATGTCGAATAGGGAAAATTATTCGTAGGGAAGAAGAGGGCGTGTTACCTTGCCGAGTAGTTGGGACAGGGAGGTCTTGGAGTAGGGAACCAAAGCCTCGAGAACAGTGTTAGAAGCTCCTGGAACAGACAGCAGCCACCCGAGCGCCTGGAGGCAGCAATCGAAAAAAGAAAACCAATTTTCAGAATTCTACCGCCGGAATCCTCTAGATACCTGCCGTTGACGGGAGTCGGCAATAGCGAGGGAAACTAAGAAACAGATGACGAGAGACCGAAACACCTGAGAGGCACCTCCGGCGAGGTAGATGACAGCCTGCGTGGGGCTGGCATGGATGGCGTCGACGATGGCGCGGATGCGTGCGTCCATCACGATTCTAACCCTTCTTTCTTCCTGTGCCGCAGCTATCGAATGAAAAGCAATTATTAGCGACATTAAATAAATTTAGCCATCATCGACGGTACAAGTTTCAGAAGCATTACCATTCCGAGTTTATCGCCTCCTTAATTTATTTAAGCGCAATGAAAGTTGCGTTCACAAATCTTGAAATTTATTTATTTCAAATGAAACCTTCCGCGACGTGTCCCCACCCCCCCTCCCCCTCTTCCCCCCCTGGAAGACCCATACATGCAGGCAGATTATCAGCTGCCGATGTTGGTGACGCGAGGAGACAACGCGGGTTTCGCGGCAGAGGCGGGGGATCTCCGCTTCGGCAACAGAGCACGTTCCAAAGTCGGGGCAAGCGGAGGTAGGCTGATGCCCCCCACCCCCCCCAAAAGTTTCTCTTATTCTGGAACCTGATTTTTAGACCCTAGCGAACGAAGAAACACCCTAGTCCAGTCCGTTGACAAGGGTAAGGGTACTCTCTCCGTCCGAAACTACCTGCCGTATTCGAACCGTCTTAGCAGGGCCAAGTCAGCTGCGAATTTGGAGTAGGGTAGACGGACAGGAAGCCTGCAGTACAGCAGAAGGGAGACAGTTGGTATCTTTCCTAAAATTCTGAAGTTTCAGGCTTTTACTCTCTATAGTCAACGATATCCGGGTTTGAGGTGGGCTTAGGGGGTTAACACAGTCCACCTACACACTTCAGTGCGAGTCAACTGTAATCCTATTTTAGGGAACTCTTCGTCAACTGGGCTTATACTACCGCCTACGGAAAGGGCATACACAGAGAGAGAGAGGTGACGACCATTATGATTGAGGCAATGTTTAGAAGAATGAAGACGAAGAAAAATCGAAGAAACGGCCGCGCCAGTTGTCAGCAACATGAAGAAGAGCAGTGAGTGTGCTCCGCTCTTCCATGGTGCAATTACTACACCGCTTTGGCATTTACTGAGGTCGCTATCTCCAGTATTTAGAGGCGGCCAGGAGAAGCACGAAGCGTTCTGAACTCTGTAGCGTTCATTAAGATCATCTCCCAATGGGCGAGCAAAAGACAAGCCGGCGTCGGCACGTTGGCCTATACAGATAGATAAAAGGGATAGGAAGAGAAAGAGAGAGATGTGTGTGGTCTCCCTTGACGAGGCTCAGACAGAGGTGAGATGTAGGGATAAAGATATACCGAACGAGCGAGCGAGAGAGAGAGAGAGAGAGAGAGATCGAGTGGGGGAGAGAGTTTCATGATGCACGTTCGTGCCCTTATCTCCCTTGTCGGCAGTGTGGGAAAGGGAAGGGTCCAAAGACCGACTGATCTTGTGCGGGGGGGTTTGCGGGAGTGACGGATCATGTGATGACATTTAAAATGAAGACCGTTGTGGCTGTCCGCTCACTCAACAAGGTCCCCCCCCCCGGGCCGGCCCCCCCTTTAAACGTTTGCCTCGTTGTCGTTGGTAAGCCACTCTGTCTCTTCAGTAGACCTTTAAGGCTTTCTGGTTCTCGGTTCACGGAGGCACTTCGCTTACGCCGTTAAGTTTTCCGGCTTGGAAGGCTGAAACAGCGGCTCCTTTCCGCTACGGTGAGGGCTACAATTCACACCCAGGCATGGTACAGAACAATACGCGTCTCAGCTTCTTTGCTCGGCGACCGACTGGTCTAAGTCCTTGACGGCGGCCTGCGGTCAGGTCATATACGACGGCAATGGCAGCGTCAGCGCTTAAATGCCCACATGATGAGGATCCATGCAGACGAGTAACTCCTCTCGTCAGTGCACTACTACTGTGAGTAGCTCACACAACAGCGTTCTTCCAAACGTTTTATCCCCCACATGGGGCATTAGCAAGCAATGCTCTGAGAACTCTCTGTTCGCATTTATCGTCGCTGTCGCGATTCTGAAAGCCGTCTGGCGGAGATGAGAGTAAGCTGACATCGAGGAAGAAGATGAGCCTTCCGCGAGAATTGCGGAGAGTGATTCAACCAAAGATGATTGACTGATTTGTCCAACCAATAGGCCCACGAGCTATTGTCATATGTCACAAGTTTCATAGACGTTGGTGGGGAGAGAGATAGACATAAATATCACGCGGACAAGGGAACTGACATCCGCGGCATTTTTAGTTAATGCTATGAGCTAATTAATACCCATGCATGTTGGGGCTATCCTCAATAATAGGGTATATTATCCTCATTAAGAGGGCATATTTAATAGCCACTTTGGGGTTCATGTCCTAACAGAGCTTATTTTCCAGCTCGCATCGTTGTCTTTCATTTTCCGGTTTTACCTTTTTATTGACTTGGAGTACAAATCGAGAAATAGTTGAGACTCTGGACAGAAGTAGCAAAACTTTTGTGACGTCTACACTTATCTGGGACCCATTATAGCAAACCTTTTCTAATTTTTCCTTAATCGTATTTGACAATGTCGATATGTTCGCACATTCATATTTTTTTGCAAAAAGCACTGTTCTAAGACTTATTTTAGAACAGTTTAACCCACTCAAATCATCATCTAGGAGCGATTCCCTCCCAACCAGAACTTGATAGATTTCTCAGTCATCGCCCATCTTAGAGCATCACTGTCAACCGCCGTTGGAGCAATGCCCTCAGAACTAGTAAAACAATAAAATCAGTCCGTTACTTCGACTCTGGGGTAGGATCTGTGCCTAAGAACAAATTAATCTGTTAGCAGCCTAGGCAACCGTGGAATATGGCCGTTAGCACATGGTACTACGCACCTAACAATAGTAAAGATCTTGCCCACGCGCACAAAAATAATCACCAGATCAGTCGAGCGTATTTAATTAAGATTCGAACTAGATTCAACTTCCGCAAGGAGGAGAAGATTTGAGCACGCAGGTGAATTGTCTACGATGGGTCGCATCGACCCATCTGCATAGATGAAGAATATAAAGTTAAATATTATGTGCAGGAGTCGGACCCAGTATGACCCTGGTTCGAGCGAGCCAACAAAGCTGAACTCCAGCAGCCTCGACTATAGGAGTAGCCCAGCCACGCCGCCACAGAATGGTCCTTTTCCACGGAGCTGGTCGCCCTGGTTTGTGTGGCCGGCGGCGCCCAGGCGTGCATCGCCAGCCGAGGAGAGGGGAAGAGGCAACGGAGGCCTCCTCAGGAAAGGCGGAGCGCGGCATAATGTAGTAGGAGTGAAAAGAGTCCGAGACCGTCAAGTCGATTCCAATAAATCCAACTCTGATATATTTTAAAGAGCGAGTTCGAAAAGCCTGTCGACGACGACCGGCCGGCCTCCCGCCGCCCCCTCTCCTCTTCCAAGCGACTTCCAATATTTGAATTCTTTCGGACATCCCCTTTTGGAACTTCCGGCGAGACCATCCTTGGGAGGGAACTGGGACTCCGTTCTGGTTTGGTTCCCCAATTCCTGCTGTAGTAGATTACATTGCACGTCGGGCGAGCCCGCGGGGGGCCGGTGTCGGCTCCAAAGATTCTCACCTGTTCTTGCGTGAACATCCGTGGAAGGCTCCTCCTGTTCTCCCCTGTTCACCCCTTCTCTAAGTGCGGAACCTAACCTGGGCAGCAGAAATCCTCGTGCCGCGTCTGCAAGCCGCCCGGGACTCGCACGGGGCAAATGAATCGAGGCGGGGCAAGCACGCAAGCCTTGTCTTTTCTCGGCCAGTTGGCCGTGTCGTCACGCTAAGAAGGGACGTGGAAACATGCAACGGCGTAGGACCATTCCGGGGTCCGTCCAACTTTCATCACGTGCCCTCTCGCCCCGCAGTACGACGACCGTAGTCTCAGCCCTCTAAGAGCCATCATTGCGCCGCGCTGCTACGCTAGTGAAGCAGCGGAGGATTAAGTCACGGGGGGAGCCGACCCACCCCTGCATCCCGCACCCTGCGCTCTGCCTGGGTGGGTTAACTTAAGCTGCCTCGCCTGGACATCATGATCGTCCAACGCACCTACACCTGCTGACGAGAATGCGCCTTTACAAAGCCTGCGACTGAGCACGGCTGCCCTGTGTTTTGGTCGACATTTCTCGCGCGCGCACATCTTTGCCGGCTTCCTGCGGGAGAGAATCCTCTCGCGGACCCCATCGCACTGCGGGCGACTTCACCCTCCCATGGCGAGTCTTCTCTCCCTCTTCCTCTCCTTGATCTTGGCCTCGCGAGGCCTCTGGTTCGCCATCGCGCAGCAGCAGCCGCAGGAGACTCTCTCTCTTCTGAGCCGCGAGGACGTTGATGTGCTCATAGACCTCAGACAGAGCCTCCGCGACCTCCCCGGCTCGGACTTCTTCTCCTCGTGGCGCTTAGATTCCCCTTCTGCCGCCTCCGACGCCTGCTCCTCCTTCGCCGGCGTCGTCTGCTCCCCTGCCGACGACGATGCGACCCTCCGGGTGACGTCTCTCACCCTCGGATCTGCCGGCTCCGCAGGATCTCCGGGCCTCGCCGGGACGCTTCCATCCTCCCTCGCCAATCTCACGCTCCTCACCCAGCTCGTCCTCTCCCCGGGCCGCGTCTCCGGCCCCATCCCCGAGGAGCTCGGCGGAGCCCGCCTGCCCTCGCTCCGCCTCCTTTCCTTGAGCGGAAACCTTCTATCCGGCCCCATCCCGGCCTCCTTAGGGGCTCTCCCCAGCCTCCACACCCTCGATCTCAGCCACAACCACCTCTCCGGTGACATTCCCCCGGCCCTCCTCGCACTGCCCAGCCTCCGGGTCGTAATCCTCGCCGCCAACGGCGGTCTCTCCGGGGAGATCCCCCCTGTCGCCGTCCCCCTCCTCCATCTCGACCTCCGCGAGAATAACCTCACCGGTTCTCTTCCTCGTCCTATCCCGGCCACTCTCCGCTACATCTCCGTTTCCAACAACGCCATGTCGGGCTCTCTCGAAGCCCTCGATGCCTCATTTCCCGACCTCGCTTTCCTCGACCTTTCCATGAACGGCTTCTCCGGTCCCATACCCAGTGCCCTCTTCACTCCACGGCGCCCCCCGGAGGACGAGGTGCCACCGCCATTGGCGGTGCTCTTGCTGCAGCGGAACAGCTTGTCGGGCCCAATACCGGAGCCCGTCGAGCCGGGAGCCATCGCGAAGTGGACGGTGGATATGAGCCACAATCAGTTGACGGGTCCCCTTCCGGGGGGGCTGGCGGCGAGCGGCAGCCTCTTCGTGAACTACAACCGTCTGACCGGGACCCTGCCGTCGGAGTTCGTCCGCAGCCTCTACGCGGGCAGCATGACGACGCTCTACGCTCAGCACAACTACCTCTCCGGACTCGACTCTCCACTTCCGATACCCGGTGGCGGTGTGGCCGGCGCCGCCTTCACGCCGCCGCTTCCGGACGGGGTCACGGTCTGCCTGTCATACAACTGCATGGCACCACTGCCCGTGGGGCCCTCCGGATGCCCCACCAGCGCCGGCGGTGACGGATCTCGGCCGTCCTACCAGTGCCCCGCCTTCAACAACGGCACGGCCATCGTCGTCACCGGAGGCGGCGGGGACCTAAGCTGGGACGACGTGGAGCCGTGAACAAGTCCCCTTTTTTTTTTTTTTTTTGCCGTGGACAGATCCCCACTCTTCCATTTCTTCAAATTCTTCGAATATCACCACACAAGATCAGCCGGGGTGGGTGGTCCGAAGCAGACCCCCCCTCGACGACGAGAACCAACAACCAGGAGGAACAGGACGAGGAATACGAGAAAGGTCAGAAATGTCGACTTTCTTCTCTCTCCCTCTCCGTTTCCGACTGCGGGTTCTCCTTCCCAATTCCTGCATTCGAGTGCCAATCGTGTACATGGTGTTCGTCTTGGAGATTTGTTTTCAGCTCACATCCTCCTCGTCCTGGGGAAAACCAACGAGGGGAGACAGTTGAGTCTCTGTTTTCTTCGCAAAAGAAGAGGAAATTTAGCTTCTTCTGTATGTAGTACCAGAAAAGGATGGCATTTTACTTCTGTATGAGTGTGATCGGCCGTTCATGAGATGGAGATTTCTCGCCGAATGAATGGAAGGAAAGGATACCCTTCGTCATCTGTTTGTGTATCGCAGAGCGCATCTTTTGACGGGAAGTAGCGCTTCCAAATTAATCTGGTATTAAGAGGTGTCAAGGTTTTAGAAAATAACAACCCTAAAAAAATCAACGAAGGAAATAGCATTATAACGGCTCGGAAACCCACTCACGTGGTGTACTACATGGACCGCAGGAGCAGCCCTCCACATGGCAGTGCATTTATCCAACGTACTACTTCCTACCCACCCATTTACCTTCACTATTTGAGGTTCAACTGTCAACGTTTTACCTCCGAAGCCACACTACCGACACCCACTTTTGATGCAGGGTGGGAGACCTGCCAGTCATCACTATTTCCACTCCACTGGTTATTGTGGGCCCAGGTTCTATATAGATATATAGATATATAGATATATATATATATATATAGTATTCTTTGACCACCCATTTGTGACGACGTGAAGAAGAGTCTGAATAATTCTGGACTTTTTGAAGGACATGTGCAGCTTTTTTTGGTCAGCGGTCAGAAAGAGGTCATGATGCATGTGTCACTACTAAGAAGTCAACTAACCGTTTCGAAGAAGTCCAGAGTGAATAATCTCGCGAGAATCTCAAGCGAAGCTCTTGTTTTTCTATCGTCCGTTTAATGTGACATGAAAAGAGAGTAGAACACATCATTCTACTGTTTCTGGTTGATGTCGATCTCCAGACACAGATTAAGTGGATGCAACACTGCCATCGAGATGCAAGAATAGGAGGGGGGGCCTTTGGGCTCATGAACTGTGAGGGATGAAGTACACCTGACTGAAGTTTACAAGACCAAAATAAGTTAGTTAATTGTTGCCAAATCCCATTGTCTTGTTTTCTCAAACATGAAGCAGCGAAAGTCGAGTAATAATGAAAACCAGGCATTGTATCCACGATAAATAAATAAGGTCATCAATCTTTGAGTCCACCAGAAAATAATTTTGATGATCCAAGTGTTGCCCTCTGAACTGAAAATGGTTGCTTTAATCCAAAATAATATATAAATCCCTAAATAGAATTACAATTCTATTATTATCGTCATCCTTTTGACTTTTGAGTCCCTAGTAGGCCAAACAAGCAGATGAAGAGGAGGGTGCGGTTTTGTTGGATCATCATCACTTCCTCACACGCGATAGATCTTCATGTGGCTTATCTCCCCTTTCTAGATAGTAAAGCTCTTTCTATCTAGCCTCTAAATCTCTTGACAAGTTCTGCTTCAGCGCCTTTACAAATTACAGCTCAAGAGAATTGGGCGGTAGAAATACCAAATGATTTACCCATACTTTCAATTCAAGTAGGATGTTGAATCTTGCTGTTCAGGAACAAGTCTGTGAGGAAGCTTTTCAAGCATATGTAGCCGTAACTAACCATCAGGAGTTGCAGAAACTTGGAGACGTCGAATTTTCAGCTTGGGTTCTAGAAGATTTCTTGAAGGTTTCATGAAGGAGAAAGAGGGCAGAATGATACACTCTTGCGTTCGATTTTTTCATATTTCCTATTTCTGAGTGAAAGTCCTCTTCCTACGCTGGGCCTAATGGGCCGAGCAGCCATCTCAACAATTAGTTGAGTGGTCTGTATTAGACTGCGCATGTACGTGATAATTCAAAATAATTTTTTAAAAAAATTGTAAAATATTTTACATCAAATATTTTATGTGGGGTTCATTATTTGACCAGATTTCCTTCTTAACACAAGTTAACTATCATTTAAATCATATGAGCTAGAAATAGACTATTTTTCGCATTAGTGGGTATAAAATCATGACATTTTGAATTCCTTGAACTTTGATGTGGCATTTATTGCATTGAGTTCATTTAATACGTTTCTAATGAGTTCCTAGCATGTATATGACACAATTGTTCAATATAAAAATCTTTTGTCCAAGTCCACCCATACATATTCATAGCTAAACTAAGGCAATTCACATTTCACATCCTAAAACTATCATTCATGTATTTTTCAACATAACTTTGGCATCATAAAGATACTTGAAGCTTTTCAACATCAATAATCTCCCCCTTTTTATGGGGACAAAATTGGAACAGGCAGTAGAAAAGAAAATTAAGTAATCTCTATGCTTGTCTCAATGATAATTTTCATCCACTCATCTTGATCCTTGTTTCTCAACTCATGCATGCAAAATAAATCTCATTCCACAATTCAGTTCTTTATTCTAATTTTCATAAATGAGAACACTTTTATTTTCAGTATTTAATTTTTTTTATCCCCCTTTTTGATAAATCAAGAAGATTTTCAGCCAATATTTTCAGTCTTTTTTCCCTTGTATAGTTTTTCCTCTCCCTAGTTAGTCCATCTTTCATTCTTTTGGGTAGTGAATGATTTATCAGAATTCTATGAATTCTCAGCAACCAAACCAATTTTCTCACAAGAACTGGATTCTAGTTTTACTTGTTCCCATAAGTCTAGCACTTAGTATACCATAGGAATCACAAAAGAGGAAGATATATTAAAAAAATGAAGAATAAAATTTTACGTCAACGATTCAGAAGTTTAAAAGATTGGTCCATATCTGAAAGCATGAAATATTCATAAGGAAACACACAAATTTCTTGTTACATGCTTGATCCTCCTTAGGATGCATAACTTCATCATTTGCTATAAAAAGGAAGAAATTATAAAACTAATCAGCACTTAGTACAACTTGAGCATAGACATCTATCAGTCATTGGAAATACTTTTTCCCTAATCTTTGAGTTGATCATTGACATTTAACAGCTTTGTGAAGTTATCATTGAACATTGGTTGGGTAAAATAACAAATGTCCAATGAGAAAGTGTTTAAGTAGATTAGCTCAAGGAATACTTTTGAGAAATAAATAGAGCATTGTGATTGATCAAGTTTCAATCAAAAGAAAGCATTTGTCCATATTGTTGGTTCTCTATGTGGATCAAGGTAATAGTAATTTATAATGCAAGTTATGAGTGTGTAAATGGTTGAGAGTTTTCATCATGATAGTAATATGAACTTAGGAAGAATAAATTTTCCATGCTCCATAATACAATAAAAGAACTTGATTTGTAAATGGTTGCTCAAAAGAATTAGTCTTTAGGTGTCAATTGATCTGTATATTTCTTCATCAAAATAGAATATTCATAAGGACCATGAGAAGAACTTGGTAGATACATGGAGATTTTGTGATTTTGATAAGCACTGAATTGTCTTTCACCAAATCAGTAGTGTTAATTGTGCAATCAGATGCATGTTCTAAACTAGTACACAACTCTAGGAAATGAGAAGGGCCAAAAAATTGTGACTCAAGTTACCTAAATATGAAAAAATACGAACTACATAAGCTGAAAGGTTTTTAAGAGTTTAAGCTCAAATTCAAATAAGTCAATGACAATCTGCATACATAACATTTCATATTTGTAGTAGTAGAAATTACTTTTCTACTATTTTGCTTTATGTAAGTTTGTTCATCAATCATATTTTTTAAAAGAATAAAAATTGACTTAAGACTATTGAAAGGCCAACATGTTATAATGTTCAATTCAAGCAACCATTGTAAACTTGAAGGACAGTCAATGCTCTGTGAATAAGTGTGATTGCAATTGAGTTATATGACATGCTAGTCTACTAAAAAAATTTAAATCTAAATTAAGGAAATCTGAAAACCAAAATATAATTCTAAAAAAAAATCTGAAATCAATTTCTAAAATTTTTGAAGTGAGACAAAAGAAAAAACATAAATCAAGAATTAAAATTTTGTCTCCAAAAAAAATGAAATTGAAATTTAGATGGATAAACTTAGTGACAAGAATCCAACTGTAGAAAATCTGTAAAATAGGAAATCATTTTTGGAAGAAAATAATAAAATGCAAACCTTTTACGAAAACATAATGACATTCAAGCTAACTTAGATAAATTAATTGAGACAAATTATCAAGACATAGACAAATAAGGAGTTAGATATACTAAATAGCTATGGAAAGGTAAATATTTTTTTAAAAAATAAATTTAATCATACTTAAGTGCGGAAGTAGAAAAAAAATTAGATCATGAGTAATTATTGTTAGCATTTAGGCCCACAAGAAATTAGAGATGTCCAAAAATAAATCTGAAAGCCAATAGTATGTTGATGTCCCAAGGGAAATCAACTATTAAAAAAATATGAATTCTTAAGATGCTTTTAGATATACCTAGGAAATAAATGTAGATTGTGTCTAGATTCTCTCTCAGGTGGATGGAGATCCCTAGTATGTTGATAGTGGCTACTTGAAATATATGACTAAAACGGATTTAAAAAGTGACCATTAAGATAAAGGAGGTGAAGTAACCTTTGAGTATAATAGTTGCTTAATACATACAACTAAAAAGAGGAAGTGGCTAACATCATTTGTTGAGAAGGAGGTGAAGTAACCTTTGGGTATTATAAACCTAAAAAAAAATTAGAATATTGAAAAATATATCTTAGTAAACATGTTCTGACTGAAAATTTTATTTTAATACAATGTTTAATACAGAATTTGATTAG